TTTTTTTTTTTTTTTTTGATAACAAACTCGAAATTGACCAAGGAAAATGTTATATCGATGGTTGAACAAGTATAAATATCACTGCAAACAAGAGGAAGATCAGTTTTCTTTTGCGCTTATTGCCCTCAAGATCAAGTTCCCGAAACACCGGCTTAATCTTTACCTGCTGAAAAAAACTCTTGATCGTCACAAAACATTTGAATTGAGAAGAAATCAAGACAATAGCGGTTAGATAAGCGGCAGAAGATTATTATTATTTACTTTCATAAAACTATGGCGCGTGTACGCTTCCGTGTTTGCAAAAAGAATTAACGCGCAGCAGATTAGATAATATTCTGCCACTATATCTCAAAATTTATATGACGAAAAATACGAAAAACACAGCTAATTCTCGAATTAATGCTACGGTGCAATTTTCCACGTTGCTCGTTGATTCATTACTTTACGAAAAATGATAATTATTTGTTAATGCGTGAAATAGGACAACGTTCCATTTCTGGATGAATCCGCCATTTTCGTTGGCTAATAAGAACGAAGAAAATTGTGATTTACGTCAAGCAAATTCAAACAAGAGTGCTGAATGCAATTTCAAGGAACACGATCACCGTTTGGTTTGTTTTCACGGTCTCGAAGATAAATGGAAGACCGGGTGATTATCACCATTGCTTCGTTACTTACTAATGACTATTTAAATAATAGCTGTGTATATATAGCCTGAAAAAGCATTTAAGAAATAATTGTTTAGAGGTGAGAAGGTGCGAACGTTGGTGATTTGCTATTGGCCCATGACGACCTTCGATCCCCAGGACGTTCTGCAGGGATTTTCCACTTTGGAAAAGTTGACAATCAAAAACGGCAACTTGACTAGATTGACGTCGCCTTTTTTAAACGAATTCCGATCGATCGAGGTTCGCTATCCTCTTCCAGTGTTTTTAATTTAATCGAATATCTTCTTATCATTTGTAAGAACTGTATTTTTTCTCTCTTCAGAAATTGGAAGTGACTGGAACTAAATTAAAGGAACTGCCAGGAAATGTGTTCGTCAATCTTTCGAACTTGAAGATCCTGGATTTTCGGAACAACAGCTTCTCAGAGATCGATGTTGAAACTTTCAACATCGCCTCGTTACATCACGTTTATCTTT